GGGGGGGGGGACTCTTTCATATCTATGGGGGGGGGGCCCATGGGGGGGAGGACTCTTCATATCTATGGGGGGGGGGCCCAGACTCTTCATATCTATGGGGGGGGGGCCCAGACTCTTCATATCTATGGTCTATGGGGGGGGCCAGACTCTTCATATCTATGGGGGGGGGGCCCAGACTCTTCATATCTATGGGGGGGGCCCTGGGGGGACTCTTTCACCCCCCGACATATCTATGGGGGGGGCCCCAGACTCTTCATATCTATGGGGGGGGGCCCAGACTCTTCATATCTATGGGGGGGGGGGGGGCCCAGACTCTTCATATCTATGGGGGGGGGGGCCCAGACTCCCCAAATCTCCTGATCCCCATACCCGGTCCTAACACGCCCCCGACATCTCCTGCTAACACCCCCGAGACTTCATATCTATGGGGGGGGGGTCACAGAAGAAGGGACCCCCACACATGGACCGATATGGATGAACCCGAGCTCTGATTGGCTGTCCCGGAGGGGGAGGGGCTGCATCTCGGCCCGAGATGTGGGATTATAACACCCCCCAATACAGCCTAAAAGCCGATCGACTACAAATATTGTCCCTCCTCCCCACCTCTGTCCCCGGGTGACCCCGCCCCTTGAACACCCCCCGCCCCCATCTCCTGGACAGGCCATAGGGCCACTAAACACCCGGGGGACATCGTCAGGACTTCTGTGAGATGACCCCCACAGGGAGGACAGAGGAAGGGGGGAGACGGGTGAGTGTAGGGGCCATAGTCTGGGGGCCACAGTCTGGGGGCCACAGTCTGGGGGCCGTAGTCTGGGGGCCACAGTCTGGGGGGCCACATCCCTGGGGGCCCGACAGTCTGGGGGATCCCCACAGTCTGGGGGGGTCGTAGTCTGGGGGGTCGTAGTCTGGGGGGCCGTAGTCTGGGGGGCCGTAGTCTGGGGGGCCGTTAGTCCTGGGGGGCCGTAGTCTCCTGGGGGGCCTAGTCTGGGGGCGCAGCTACAACGGACATAATCTGATTTATGAGGAGCAGAATGTTCTAAACCCCCCAACACCCCGACATCTCCTGATCCCCATACCCCGGTCCTAACACCCCCGACACCCCATCTCCTGATCCCCATACCCGGCCTAACACCCCCCGACACCCCCGACATCTCCTGATCCCCATACCCCGGTCCTAACACCCCCCGACATCTCCTGATCCCCATACCCCGGTCCTAACACCCCCCCGACCCCCGACATCTCCTGATCCCCATACCCCGGTCCTAACACCCCCGACACCCCATCTCCTGATCCCCATACCCGGCCCTAACACCCCCCGACACCCCGACATCTCCTGATCCCCATACCCCGGTCCTAACACCCCCCGACATCTCCTGATCCCCATACCCCGGTCCTAACACCCCCCGACACCCCGACATCTCCTGATCCCCATACCCCGGTCCTAACACCCCCCGACATCATCCTGATCCCCATACCCCGGTCCTAACACCCCCCGACCCCCGACATCTCCTGATCCCCATACCCCGGTCCTAACACCCCCCGACACCCCATCTCCTGATCCCCATACCCGGCCTAACACCCCCCGACATCTCCTGATCCCCATACCCCGGTCCTAACACCCCCCGACACCCCGACATCTCCTGATCCCCATACCCCGGTCCTAACACCCCGACCCCCGACATCTCCTGATCCCCATACCCCGGTCCTAACACCCCCCGACATCTCCTGATCCCCATACCCCGGTCCTAACACCCCCCGACACACTCCTGAGACATACCCCCCGACATCTCCTGATCCCCATACCCCGGTCCTAACACCCCCCCCCGACATCTCCTGATCCCCCCCCGTCCTAACACCCCCCGACATCTCCTGATCCCCATACCCGGTCCCTAACACCCCCCGACACCCCGACATCTCCTGATCCCCATACCCGGTCCTAACACCCCCCGACACCCCGACATCTCCTGATCCCCATACCCCGGTCCTAACACCCCCCGACACCCCGACATCCCCTCCTGATCCCCATACCCAAGGTCCTAACACCCCCCGACGACCCCGACATCTCCTGATCCCCATACCCCGGTCCTAACACCCCCCGACATCTCCTGATCCCCATACCCCGGTCCTAACACCCCCCGACACCCCATCTCCTGATCCCCATCCTAACCCGGCCTAATCCCCCCCCGTCCTAACACCCCGACACCCCGACATCTCCTGATCCCCATACCCCGGTCCTAAACACCCCCGACACCCCGACATCTCCTGATCCCCATACCCCCCCGGTCCTAACACCCCCCGACACCTAACACCCCCCGACATCTCCTGATCCCCATACCCCGGTCCTAACACCCCCCCGACACCCCGACATCTCCTGATCCCCATACCCCGGTCCCTAACACCCCCCGACCCCCGACATCTCCTGATCCCCATACCCCGGTCCTAACACCCCCGACCCATCTCCTGATCCCCATACCCCGGTCCTAACCCCCCGACACCCCATCTCCTGATCCCCATACCCCGGCCTAACACCCCCCCCGACACCCCGACATCTCCTGATCCCCATACCCGGTCCTAACACCCCCCGACACCCCGACATCTCCTGATCCCATACCCCGGTCCTAACACCCCCGACACCCCGACATCTCCTGATCCCCATACCCCGGTCCTAACACGACCCCCGACACCTGATCCCCATCTCCTGATAACCCCACACCCCATCCCTGATCCCCACACCCCCCTAACACCCCGACATCTCCTGATCCCCATACCCCGGTCCTAACACCCCCCGACACCCCGACATCTCCTGATCCCCATACCCCGGTCCTAACACCCCCCGACACCCGACATCTCCTGATCCCCATACCCCGGTCCTAACACCCCCGACACCCGACATCTCCTGATCCCCATACCCCGGTCCTAACACCCCCCGACACTGATCCCCATACCCCGACATCTCCTGATCCCCATACCCCCGGCCTAACACCCCCCGACACCCCGACATCTCCTGATCCCCATACCCCGGTCCTAACACCCCCCGACACCCGACATCTCCTGATCCCCATACCCCGGTCCTAACACCCCCCGACACCCCATCTCCTGATCCCCATACCCCGGTCCTAACACCCCCCGACACCCCGACATCTCCTGATCCCCATACCCGGTCCTAACACCCCCCGACACCCGACATCTCCTGATCCCCATACCCGGTCCTAACACCCCCCGACACCCCGACATCTCCTGATCCCCATACCCGGTCCTAACACCCCCCGACACCCCATCTCCTGATCCCCATACCCCGGCCTAACACCCCCCGACACCCCGACATCTCCTGATCCCCATACCCCGGTCCTAACACCCCCGACACCCCGACATCTCCTGATCCCCATACCCCGGTCCTAACACCCCCCGACACCCCGACATCTCCTGATCCCCATACCCCGGTCCTAAACACCCCCGACACCCCGACATCTCCTGATCCCCATACCCCCCGGTCCTAACACCCCCCGACACCCCGACATCTCCTGATCCCCATACCCCGGTCCTAACACCCCCCGACACCCCGACATCTCCTGATCCCCATACCCCGGCCTAACACCCCCCGACACCCCGACATCTCCTGATCCCCATACCCCGGCCTAACACCCCCCGACACCCCGACATCTCCTGATCCCCATACCCCGGTCCTAACACCCCCCGACACCCCGACATCTCCTGATCCCCATACCCCGGTCCTAACACCCCCCGACACCCCGACATCTCCTGATCCCCATACCCCGGCCTAACACCCCCGACACCCCGACATCTCATCTCCTGATCCCCATACCCCGGTCCTAACATCTCCCCCCCGTCCTAACACCCCCCGACATCTCCTGATCCCCATACCCCGGTCCTAACACCCCCCGACACCCCATCTCCTGATCCCCATACCCCCTAACACCCCCCGACACCCGACATCTCCTGATCCCCATACCCCGGTCCTAACACCCCCCGACACCCCCATCTCCTGATCCCCATAACCCCGGTCCTAACACCCCCCGACACCCCGACATCTCCTGATCCCCATACCCCCCGGTCCTAACACCCCCCGACACCCCGACATCTCCTGATCCCCATACCCCGGTCCTAACACCCCCCCCCGACACCCCGACATCTCCTGATCCCCATACCCCGGTCCTAACACCCCCGACACCCCGACATCTCCTGATCCCCATACCCCGGTCCTAACACCCCCCGACACCCCATCTCCTGATCCCCATACCCCGGCCTAACACCCCCCGACACCCCGACATCTCCTGATCCCCATACCCCGGTCCTAACACCCCCCGACACCCCGACATCTCCTGATCCCCATACCCCGGCCTAACACCCCCCGACACCCGACATCTCCTGATCCCCATACCCCGGTCCTAACACCCCCCGACACCCCGACATCTCCTGAACCCCATACCCCGGTCCTAACACCCCCCGACACCCCCATCTCCTGATCCCCATACCCGGCCTAACACCCCCCGACACCCCGACATCTCCTGATCCCCATACCCCGGTCCTAACACCCCCCGACACCCCCGACACCTCCTGATCCCCATACCCCGGTCCTAACACCCTCAAACACAACTATAACGCTCCCTAAACCCTGTAACCTGCCCCTGGCCCCGTGTACATGTGTAGCGGCGGTGTGGCCCCGTGTACATGTGTAGCGGCACTGTGGCCCCGTGTACATGTGTAGTGGTGGTGTGGCCCCGTGTACATGTGTAGCGGTGGTGTGGCCCGTGTACATGTGTAGCGGCGGCGTGGCCCCGTGTACATGTGTAGTGGCGGTGTGGCCCCGTGTACATGTGTAGTGGCGGTGTGGCCCCGTGTACATGTGTAGCGGTGGTGTGGCCCGTGTACATGTGTAGCAGCGGCGTGGCCCCGTGTACATGTGTAGCGGTGGTGTGGCCCGTGTACATGTGTAGCGGCGGCGTGGCCCCGTGTCATCATACAATGTACATTTCAGTCTCACCAGCATCCTGAAGATCCAGCCTCGGCTCAGGGTGTTCCATGGAGGTCTTCTCCTCGTGGCCCCTGGGTGGTGGCAAGGCTTGGGTCATGTGACGCATCTTCTCTAGAAGAACATAGGACACCATGTCCTCACCCGGCTCCTCTTTCTGGGTCCCCCGCCCTCTGCCTAGGCCGCGCCCCCTGCGGGCCCTAGCCGGAGGGCGAGCTGTAGGGGTGGAGCTTCCAATGGTGATGTAGGAGAAGGTGGGATCCTGAGGTGAAGATAGGGGCCACAGATCAGCCAGGGTCACCGTGGCGTCATCTCCATCGTCTGCAATACACATACAACACGTGAGATGGCGGGTGAGAGGAGGCGGTCCTTATTCTGTGTATTGGGGGTTACACCTACACTGCTCCGCGGGGGCCGGATGGGAGGAGTCTGGAGTATGCACCTCTGATCTCATTGGTTCACAGACGGGAAGAGCCGGAAGGACAAGAAACACGACATGAGAGAACATCATGGGACACGTCTACACAACATACACAACACGGCGGCCGGGCCCACACGTGACAACTAGAACAGGAAGTCACCTGACCACAGCCCCATATCTTCCCCCGCTCCCACCTCCCCCCCCCCCCCCCGCCCAGTATGAAGGCCAATGATAGACAATTATGGAAATGTTCCAAAACAACGATGAGATACAATACAGACCAGTCATTATATACACCACAGTATCCCCCCCCCCGCCCTCCATACCATGTGATTCCAGTGTCCCCCCCCCCGCCCTCCATACCATGTGATTCCCCCCCCCCCCCCCCCTCCATACCATGTGATTCCAGTGTCGCCCCCCCCGCCCTCCATACCATGTGATTCCAGTGTACCCCCCCCCCTCCATACCATGTGATTCCCCCCCCCCCCCGCCCTCCATACCATGTGATTCCACCCCCCCCCCACCCCCCCCACCCTCCATACCATGTGATTCCAGTGTCCCCCCCCTCCATACCATGTGATTCCACCCCCCGCCCCCATACCATGTGATTCAGGTGCTCCAATCCCCTCCATACCATGTGATTCCAGTGTCCCCGCCCCTCCATACCATGTGATTCAGGTGTTCAAATCCCCTCCATACCATGTGACCCCCCCCCCCCCTCCATACCATGTGATTCCAGTGTACCCCCCGCCCCTCCATACCATGTGATTCCGGTGCTCCAATCCCCTCCATATCATGTGATTCAGGTGTTCCAATCCCCTCCCAATCATGTGATTCAGGTGCTCCAATCCCCTCCATATCATGTGATTCAGGTGCTCCAATCCCCTCCATATCATGTGATTCAGGTGTTCCAATCCCCTCCCAATCATGTGATTCAGGTGCTTCCAATCCCCTCCATATCATGTGATTCAGGTGCTCCAATCCCCTCCATATCATGTGATTCAGGTGCTCCAATCCCCCCCCAATCATGTGATTCCCCCCCCAATCCCCTCCCAATCATGTGATTCAGGTGTTCCAATCCCCTCCCAATCATGTGATTCAGGTGCTCCAATCCCCTCCATATCACGTGATTCAGGTGTTCCAATCCCCTCCATATCACGTGATTCGGTGTTTCCAATCCCCTCCATATCACGTGATTCGGTGTGTTCCAATCCCCTCCATATCACGTGATTCGGGTGTTCCAATCCCCTCCCCCAATCATGATGATTCAGGTGCTCCAATCCCCCCCTCCCCCCTCACCCCGTGATCCCCGCCCCCAGGTGCTCCCCCCCTCCATATCACGTGATTCCCTCCAATCCCCTCCATATCAACGTGATTCAGGTGTTCCAATCCCCCCCCATATCACTGATTCGGGTGTTCCAACCCCCTCCCAATCAAGTGATTCGGGTGTTCCAATCCCCCCCAATCCCCAGTGATTCACCCCCCCAATCCCCTCCCAATCATGTGATTCGTGTTTCCAACCCCCCCCTCCCCCCCAGTGTGATTCGGGTGTTCCAATCACCTCCAGTTATCATGTGATTCAGGTGTTCCAATCCCCTCCATATCACCCCCCCAATCCCCTCCATTTCATGTGATTCAGGTGTCCACCCCCCCCCCCCTCCATACCACATGTGACCCCCCAGGTGTTCCAATCCCCTCCATACCATGTGATTCAGGTGTTCCCCCCCCCTCCATATCATGTGATTCAGGTGCCCCCAATCCCCCCCATATCATGTGATTCCCCCCCCAATCCCCCCCCCCCCCACCCAATCCCCCCCCATACCCCATGTGATTCAGGAGTGCCCCAATCCCCCCCCCCCCCCCCCCCATGTCATTCAGGTGCCCCAATCCCCCATACCATGTGATTCAGGTGTTCCCACCCCCCATATAACCCCCCCCTCTCCCCCCATAACAGGATCCCCCCCCCCCCCCCCCCCAAATAACAGAGTCCCCCCATATAATCCCCCCAGAGCTCAACCAGCCGGGGGGGCAGGAGTCGGGGGTGCTGGAGGTGGTAGATGGAGCGTCCCCCCCCTCCCCAGAAGAAGACCCCCCCCCCCCGCCATATATACAGAGCGGAGTATACCCCCCAGATGGTGACCCCATAGACTGGAGGGGGGGAGGGGATTGTAGTGTGATGGCAGTATATGAGGAGAGACCCTTTGTAATCAGAAAACCGATTCTCAATATCAATGACCCCCACCACCCCCCCCCTGTGTACCCCCATATAGTGCCTGTGTACCCCCCTAACCAGAGTGTACCCCCCCCCCCCTGTAACCCCTATATACTGCCCTGTACCCCCCCCCCCCCCTGTGTACCCCCCCCCCAAGCCCCCCCCCAATATAGTGCCCTGTGTACCCCATATAGTGCCCCCCCCCCCACCGCCCCCTAACTGCCCCACCCCCCCCCCCAGTGTCCTGTGTACGCCCCCCCAGAGTGTACCCCCCCCCCTGCCTGTGTACCCGCCCATAACCAGAGTGTACCCCTATATAACCCCCCCCCCCCCCCCAATAATAGTGCCTGTGTACCCCACCCAACCCCCACCCCACCCCCCCTGTGTACCCCATATAGTGCCCCCCCCCCACCCCCCCCCGGTACCCCCCCATAGTGCCCACCCCCCCCCTATATACCCACCTGTGTCCCCCCTATATACTGCCTTTGTAACCCAATATAGTGCCTGTGTACCCCCTACCACCCACTGCCCCCCCCCCCTATATACTGCCCCCCTACCCCCCCCCCCCCCACCCCCTATACCCTGCCCCCCTACCCCTATATACTGCCTGTGCACCCCCTATATCCCCCGAATACCCTGTGTACCCCCTATATAGTGCCTGTGTACCCCGCCCCCAGAGTGTACCCCTATATACTGCCCCCCCCCCCCCAGCCTGTCCCCCCCCCCCCCCCCCCTGTGTACCCCCAGATACCACTGCCGTGTACCCCTATATAGTGCCTGTGTACCCCCCCCCCCTGCCTCCCCACCCCCCACCCCCCCCCCCCCCCCCCCCCCCCATACCCTCCTGTGTACCCCCCTATCCCCCCCTACCCCCCTGTGAAACCCCCCCCCCTGCCCCCCCCCCCCTATATACTGCCTGTGTACCCCCTATATACTGCCCCCCCCCCCCCCCCCCCCCTGTGTACCCCCACCCCCCCCACCCCCCTACCCCACCAATACTGCCTGACTCCCCCCCCTCCCCACCCACCCCCCCATACCCACCCCCCCCCCCCGGCGGAGAATAGGGCGGAAACACCCTGACATGTATAGATATCTGTGTACCGGAAGCCCCCCGGGTGGGTGTCAACCCCTGGATGATGGAGGGATGATGGAGGCCCCCCATAACCCCCCGACCCCCTGCCCCCCCCCCCCCCAGAACGTACCCCCCCCCCCCCCCCGACAAAAAACCCATCCCCCGACCCCCCCCCGCCCCCCACCCCACCCCCCCGGGGACCCCCCGCATAGATCCCCAAAGGACCCAGAGAGGAGGGGCCACCCCCCACCCCCCCCCCTGACCGACCACCCCCCCCCCCCCCCCCCCCCCCCCCCCCCAGAGACCCCCCTCCCCCCCCCCCCCCACCAACCCCCCCCCCCCCCCCCCCCTAATATCTGAGACCCCCCCCCAGCCTCCCCCCCCCCCCAACCCCTG